AATTTCGACAAATACTTCGAATATAAGTTGTAGGTGATACTATTACCTATGAAAAATGTGCAATCACTATAATTTTAGCTTTTTAATAGTAATAGGAATCTATAATAACAAATTCAACATGCCAGCATTGTTTAAATGTATGTATAGCCTATAGATCCTTAAATATAATTAATCGTTTGATACCGTGAAATTATTGATTCCCGTTCCACGCTCGTTCGCCGGTCGCTGGACGCGTTCAAGGGAATTAACGAGAGCCGAAGACATCCAATCGTGAGGTAGCGTTATAATTTGCGGTCTGGACCCAAAAAACGGCTAGACGTTCACCGGATCGCGAGTCAATTTAACTTTCGCGATTCCGCGTTCCCGTGAAACAGGCGATAGAACGCTGTGCGCCGTGTGGTACGTAGGCACGAGGAAGAAGAGAGAGGAGGGAGCACGTGCGGGCAGAACCCCAAAGGCGCGTGAGGGGTGGGTGGCTCAATATATATTAAGATCCCTCCAGTAGACTGAAAGTTCGTCCACCCCACGCGACCCCCTAAGTCTTCTCCCATCGACTTCCCCCCGACTCGACCGATGTTACACCATCGGAATTGCGATCATGGGTGGCGATATTACTTGCCCGCAGGGGGAGAGACGTACGCGAAAAATGAAAATATGTATATACTCGAACGTTTAACCCCGAAGCCAGGGTCGCTGTCTAATATCGACGGAGAAGGTAGTTCATAATTTAAAAGAGATAGTTGGTCGACTCCGGACTTTTGACCGGCGGTGTAGCTTCCCTTTCTCGGAACTCGTGCCACGTTTACGGAGCTTATTGGCTTTATTCCGAAAGCGCCCGTAGGTATCTGTTTACCGGCGCATCCTCTGAACAACGAGGAAATAGAAAACGCAGACGGTACAGGCTCGACGAGGTTCGTCCGACAAATCGATATCCTAATGCCTTGCTCGTGTAGCAGCCCGTCGTTACTCTTTATCCGCGACTAAATTTCATCTCCGCGCCGCGGACGAAACCGCGGAATCCATCGCGGAAACTGTACAACCATGCGGAACGATGCCTTTTTGCACCCCTTCTTCGGTTCGGGTCGACGATCCCCGCGGCATTCATCTAATTCGATCCTGACTCCGTGCACGAAATCGTCCGACACCGAAATATTGTTCCAAGCGTTTCGAGTTCCATTGGCGGAACAAACGTACCATTCTCGAACGTTTAGCTCCGGGTGAAATTTCTGTTTTACACGAACGGTCCGCGTGGTTGATCGAACGACTCGATGACTCGAGCCACAATGATTCCCGGCCCGTCGCTCGTTCCTGCCGCGGGTCTGTCGTTTTGTAGCGGAGTTTTACCGTATCAGAGGTCGATCCGGTGGTTGGAAATTGGAAAAATCGACGGCACCGGCTTCGACAGCCATCGAGGAGCGCGGCCGCGTTCTACATAATTTCCGAGCGAATTAATAATCATCGATCGAGCGCGGGTCGTTTGGTACGATATTTTTCCCGCAGCGTAGACGAGCGATGGAGAGAGCGAGCAGGCAGGCAGGCAGGCAGGCAGGGGTGGAGCGAATATCGCGGCCATTATACGCGAAGCAATTAAAAGCGACGAGTGGAAATATTTTTTCGCGACCGCGTTCCGAGTGAATTCGTGACGCTTGTTCCGCCTCTCGATTAAACCCCGCGCGAATCGCTCGACGGGAACGAGCCTCCGGTTTTTATTATCTCGACCGATTTCGAAAAACAGGATCTTCGAGTCGACGCGGCGCGGCGCGACGCGTCGTTTTAATGGATTCGTGTCGCGTCGATCGATCGACCCGGCGAGCTAATTGAGAAACACAACGCGAAATCCGGCCGAATTCTGTGTTGAAACGCGATAAAGAGCGAAATTACCCGAGCCGAGCGCGCCCGGGCTTTGCTAATCTCGCATGCGGCACGCTAACGAACCCGAGGCGCGAAACATGTTAAGTGGCGTAATTAATTTCATTTAAAATCTCCACCACCCGCGGAAACGCGCCCAAGAAGCCACCGGCACACGTACACCTGTCTTACACAGTTCCTCGGTTACCCAAATCATTTTCTCTGGCAAAAAAGTTACCACCTAGACGTCGAGTGAGAATCTACGTGCGTCTCGTTCGCCTGATTTTAAAGGTCGCCGATAAATTCTAGAATTAGTCGTTACTCAAAACGATCTCGTTCGGGATGAAGGCGACACGGATCGGGTGGCTCGTTCCCCTGGCGACCGAGCATAAAATTTTTTATTTGCCAACTTCGAAGCGCGGAATCGCGCCGCTGGGAAATCCGGTGCGCCGAAAAATTGACGCCGGCACTTTGAAAGAGAAACGTCTCGGCGGGATCCAATTAAATTCCGCGGCGTTAACGATGCGCGGTGCTGCCCGTGCCTTTTTTCGGTTCGCGGCCAGCCTGGAAGGCACCGCGGCGAAAGAACGAGAAGTAAAAGTGAAGGAGAAGGAGGAAGAGAGAGATGGGCGGGGGTGGAATTCACCGTCTCCTAACGCAATTTCCCAGGCGATAAAGCTCCCGCGTAGGCGTCGAAATAACATCCCGGGGACTTTTCTCCGCTCCTCTAATAGTGTTCGCGCGATATTAACCTTTCGCGCCTTCTGTCTTTTATATGATTCCTCGCCACAGGAAGAAGGGAGGGAGAGAGCGGTGTGAGCGAGCGAGAGGATAACGGACGGCGGAGCAAATACCAGTGCGGGTAATTGCAATCGACTCTCGAGCGTTTAATACGAGAACTTTCGTAGAGAAAAATCTGACGTTTCGACGATATTGGATCGCGATCAAATTTTCTGATCGGTGAATGTCGGCCCGAGTCCATCCACCGAAACGAAATAGTAGCCTTTTTTCTCCGCTTCCCCCCGCTCGTAATAATCTCTTTGCGCTACCGAGTAACCGTACACAGGCTGAATTTATTGCGGCCTCCCTGCCGGAAACACGTCCGCAAGAAAATGTTCTCCGGGTAAGAAGCCCGGTCTTCTCGATCTACCCGTTTTTTGCCTGTTCTTACCTACGCAGCCTTTACTCTCTCAGGGGAGAGAGAAAGAGAGAGAGAGAAAATAGTCTTAGAGGACGAGGTCTGTCGACGAGGAGGAGGTGGACGATGACGGCGACGAGGACGACGGCGACGACGGGTCCTTGTTGCTCGGTCGGAACTTTTTGCGGTCTCTCTCGGGACGAGCCCGAGCCGAGGGGGGCAATAAAACTAATGGTAACGCGCGCCGGTAATTCCTTGCGGTCTGTTTGTCGCAAGTCGACGACCTGGCCTCTCCGCCTCGTCATTTGCCGAGGGAGGATACCGCGTCCAACGTCGACGGACAAGTGGTTCCTCCGATCGGACATGGACCGAGCCGGCCAGCGTGAATCTCTCTTTCTCCTCTCCCTTTTTCGCTCGTCACTGTCCTACGGATCGACTCGATAAAGATCGGAAAGCGTCTCTATCCAGCCCCCTCGCCCGGGAATAAATCTGTTCCGTCCTCGAGTCTCTTTGTCGTCCACGGATTCTTCCACGGAACTTCGGGATGACCCGGACGACGGCAATCCGTCTTCGTTGTTTCTGTAAATATCATCAACGGGGGTAGAAGTCGGTCGGAGGACCTTGAAGCGAGACCTTAAAAGCGAGAACGGAAGAATCCCGGGCAGGAAAGTCGAGGGGTTCAAAGCTGATTTCGTGGATGCTGACTCGATGGAATCTCTCGCGTAATCCGTACGCAAACATCGCCGAGGGTCCCGGGGGAAAGTATCCTGTGAGAAGGCGTCGCGTTATTTAATCTTACGACCCCGTATCTCGCGTATCCACGCGCTGTAACAAAAAATCATTTCCCAAGCACTTTCTCCCGGCATTATTCGACGCGAGAAGAGAAGTTAACGATCGAAAACGTTCGCCCGTTGATTCGTTCTTATCGCGGTCGATTCGAGCACGCGCGTAGGTCGAACCCGCTTTAAAAATAGGCCCGGTGCGCGTTTTGCTCGCCGTTTAATCGCGAGGGTACCGAAATTAAGATCGTCCCGTGGTTTGATTGCAGTGGGTGGAAGAGTCGTTCACGAACTTTGACAAGGGCATCAATTGGCGGAGTTACGTTGTCTGCGACGTCGCGTACAACAACGTGAACAATTGGCTATGGACGCCATTCATCGAGAGGGGACCGGCGAATCGTATGTACATAGAAATCAAATTCACCACCCGCGACTGTTCCCTCTTCCCCGGAAACGCACTCAGCTGCAAGGAGACGTTCAGCCTGCTTTACTACGAGTTCGACGTTGCCACCAAGGAGCCGCCGCCCTGGGAGACCGACAGTTACAAGTTAATCGGTGAGCATTCGGACATTTTACTTATTATTCGCTAACGGAAAAAGACACTTCGAGTAAAATACGCGTGGAGCGACTGGACTAGAGACAAACGAGAAAAACGTTTGATCCTCAGGACGGATCGCTGCCGGCGAGGGGAGGTTCAACACGAACACGGAAGTCGTGATAAACACGGAGGTGAAGTCCATCCCGGTGACGAAGAAAGGCGTGTACTTCGCGTTCCGCGATCAAGGCGCCTGCATCTCGATTTTGGCCATCAAGGTCTACTACATCAGCTGCCCGGAGATCTCCGTGAATTTCGCGCGATTCCCCGCGACGCCGACTGGTCGCGAAGTCGCGTTGATTGAACAGACGATCGGCACGTGCGTCGACAACGCGATCGTCATCGATCAGCCCACCTTCCTCTGCAAGGGCGACGGCAAGTGGTACCTGTCCAGCGGCGGGTGCCACTGCAAGCCGGGATTCCAAGCGGACATCGAGAAGCAGCAGTGCATCGTCTGTCCCATCGGTAAATTCAAGCACGAGGCGGGATCGCAAGCTTGCGAGCCCTGCCCGGCGCACAGCAAGTCCTCCGACTATGGATTCACCGAGTGCAGATGCAACGCGGGTTATTACAGAGCAGAGAAGGATCCGAAAATAATGCCCTGCACACGTGAGTTTCGTTTTCGCGATTAACGATCCCGCGGGTAAACGTGGGAGATGGTCTAGAGACGAGTTTTATCGAACGTTGAAACGGGGCGTTCGGTGTAATTACAGAGCCGCCGTCGGCACCACAGAATTTGACGGTGAACTTCGTGGACCAGTCCACCGTGATTCTGTCGTGGAATGCGCCGCATCAGCTCGGCGGCCGCGCGGACACGACATACCGAGTCGTTTGCGACGCGTGTAGCATGGGTGTCAAATACATTCCCAATACGGTAAGTCTCCTCCGTCTTCCCCAAGCGTCCTGGCAGCGAACCATGAAATGTGATCGCGATTCTCTGTGAAACAGGAGGTCTTCAACGACACGAAGATCACAATCACGGGTCTAAACGCGGTCACCACGTATCGGTTCCAAGTGTTCGCCGAGAACGGTGTGTCGGCGTTGGCAGGAAAATCCGAGTACGTGGATATCACCGTCACCACCGAGGCCAGCGTGCCCAGTCTAGTGAGCAACGTCAGGATCACGAGCGTGAAGAGCTCGGAGCTGAGCATCAGCTGGGACGCTCCAGTGACCGAAGTCGGCGGAGACAGCGATCTCGTCGAGAGATACGAAGGTAAAAATCGATGGCCCCGGATAAATCTCCGAGTCGAAATTCGGCTGAACTTCCCGGGCGCGTTATCTGTTCCAGTGAGGTGTTATCCGCGTTACGACGACGCTACCAACGCTACCGTGATCCAGACCTCCGATTTATCCGCGACGTTCAAGGGTCTGAAACCGGGGACGGATTATGCGATACAAGTGAGGGCGAAGACTACCCGAGGCTGGGGCGAGTACACTCCGGTCGTCTTTAAAAAGACGCCCCACGCTATGGGTTTAGGTGAATATACGAGAGTCGAGTCGTGATTAGAACGCAGCTTTTCAACGAACCGCGTTCCGAATTCTGTTCCAGATTACGTCGGAGAGGACGACAACATGCAAGTGAGGATCATCGCCGGAGCCATCGTGGCCGTGGTCGTTCTCCTGGTGATCATCATCATCATGACCGTTCTGATCTTGAGAAGGTAAACGAGTTGCTCTCACAATCGTTCTCGAGTGATAAATTTTTGTTCACCGAGTCGCCGTCGTGATCTTTTGTTCGTTGAATCTGATTTGACTCTATTGATTTGGTACGATTTCGATGCAGCAGGGCCTCGGACGAGTGTAACAAGAAACAGCCGAGCGATTGCGACACTTTGGAGTACAGGAACGGCGAAGGTACGTTTGTCAGACGCCAGAAAGGCTCGATCAACCATCTATTACTTTTTTTTTATAAATATATTATCGCTACTATATCCCCCTGTCACTTTCATAGTTGTTTCACTGCGCCCTCGTGTCTTGTGACTAATATATTTTTGGATCACCAAGCCCGTTAGACCCAGCAAGTATT